TTGCTCGAGCAATACTGAAGAACCCGGCGATCCTCCTCTTGGACGAAGCAACCAGTGCCCTTGATAGTGTGTCAGAAAGTCTAGTCCAGGAAGCATTGGAGAAAATGATGGTGGGTAGGACTTGTGTCATTGTAGCTCATCGCCTTTCCACCATACAAAAATCAGACACCATAGCTGTGATAAAGAATGGGAAGGTTGTGGAACAAGGATCACACTCTAATCTACTTGCTGTGGGGAATCATGGGTCTTATTACTCCTTAATAAAGCTGCAAAGCGCCCAATCTTCTTACCAGTGAGCCGAGATATAAGCACACATTATGCAGTGTCTGATTATGCATTGTCTGTTATGCAACGTCTCTAGGAATTGAGTTTGTCATTAAAACAAAGCAAGCTTTGACATGAATGATGGCAACTCTACCTGACCAAACTTTTGGTATACCATAATCGTCAGGTTTATGCTACAAAGCTCTGGAAATTATAGCATATAAGATCTTGTATAAGAAATAAAAATTATCAAAGTGTTCCATTGAGCAAGAACCATGAAAAAGAAACAAAAAGAAGGATAATGGGAAATTTTTGATAACGACCTCGTTCCAAACTCATAAATACGATACTGGAAACGTACACAAATAGAGAACACAATCAAAAGCAAAAAGGAAGGATAATAAGCGTTTGCTAATCAGTAATCACCGCTAATATATAGGAGTGATACCTTCCATTTATATTTGGCACCCATCTGCATCTCCCACATTATATATGCCAAAAAACAATGAACTTTTTCAAAATTTGTATTTAAAAGTCATAAATAACAACACGAACAAGATTATGTCCATCTAAAGAACCAATATAAGAGTCAATATCTTATGCAATTGATAAAAAAAAATAATAATAATAATAAAAAATGATACTAATTACGTTATTAGAAAGATGAACCAACATGACTTACAAATCGTAGAAAGCTCTCCAGCTTGGCCTTTCATCAAACACCAAATAGGCAATGGCGGATCTACCTTTTTTCTGGTTTGATAACTGGATGCCTCAAGGCATGTACAACTTCCAATGCCCCAAATTTTGCTCATTCTGCCTATCTTCAACAGTCACACTCCCGTATATTTTTCTGAGTGTGAATTCTCAATCCCTATACGCAGATTCATTTTGGGGTTAGTTGTTTTTAGTTAGTTATATGCCAAGTGGTATTGGGCCTATTTTGTGCCTTGGGGCTTCTGCCTTCTTTGTGCTGCCACTTGTGGGCTAGCTATCTGTACTTGTATATACTTTTCATCTTTGGGGGGAAAAACCACATAACTCCCGTCAAAAAAAAAAAAAAAAAAAAACCACTAAAATTAAACACAATTCTGAACTAAATAAATGTTATCACATATTCTGACCCACCCGTTTATTAAGTTGTGAAAGGATAAAATTAACCTTATGATTTAATATTAAATTAAAAATTGATATTTATTATTGTGAAATTACGAAATCGCACATCTTCTTCTTCCTCTTTGCTCTCTCTAGAACTTTTAATAGAAAAATATCTGATAACTTTATAGCATTTCTTAGTTCAGGGAGTGTTATATTTTAGTGGGAGTTTTTTTTACGAAAATGATAATAGATGGGGATTATGTGATTTTTCTCCTTCATCTATAGAGTAGTTTATATAGCCACCGAATCCGTCACCAAATTCAATTTATCACGGACTTATCACCACAATTACATAAATTAAAATTGATAATTACCGAATTCAGTCATTAAATTATTATTATTTATCTATACAATTAGTTTGATTTTTCTAATAGAAAAAATATATATTAAAAGTCTTTTTACTATGTTGCGTCAAAATTGCATTGGAAAAAAAAAAAGAAAAAAGAAAAAAGCAATGTTTGTTCTCTCCTATGAATTTATTTATTTTGTAAAATCTGGTCTAATAACTAAAACCAAGTAATATGTTTTAATTTTATCCTAGCATGCAATGAAACAAGATGTGCAGAAAGAAGAGTTAGTGATAATTAGTTCTATCCATGGAATTTATGGTGTTGGCATGGTGATTAAAGTTGAAACAATTGCGGGAAAACACTTTTTTCACATTATTGTTGAAGGTCAAAAGTGGTATTGTACAAATAAGGTCAATTGTATCTTTGTCAAACCATGTTAGATCCTAAAATTGGGCTGCTCTCTTATGGGGATGAACTACTACTACTAGGTCATGAATAGACTATTATTTTGATGGATATGCTCTAACAAAATAGTACTAAATTAAGAATATATTTATTCAATAAGCTGTACATTAGCTCATTTTAATATATATATACACACACTAAACTAACTAAGAAGATATTTAAATTCACTAAGCTGTACATTGGCTATATATACATATATTATTAACATATAAAAGTAGAACTTAGTCTTCACAAGAGAGGACGGCCTCCATAATTAACACCAAATAGGCAAATCGTGGTCCCGGCAAACGCAATGCAACTTGTAAATAAAGTGCTTTTTTTTTTTTTTGGAAGGTGTAAATAAAGTGATTTTGTTACTGTTGTCTCTGTTATTGTCTTCTTATTGGTGGCACAGTAGTCGATATAGATCATTGCTTCTGTCATCAAGACAATAACACTTGAGTTAGTCTAATAATTAAAAAACATTAGAAAGAAATGACAGCTAATGTAATAAAAATTTAACTTTTCATATATATATACAGGTAACTTTTTTCAATAAACTTCTTTTTTCTATTTTTTTATTAAAGAACCTCCCTCGACTTGTAATATTTTTTCAATAAGTTCTCCTTGTCTAATTTTTTACCAAATAACCCCTTCAACTATCTAAAGGAGGTAAAAGAGTTAATATTTGGATCAAAATGTCCTTTTATTTAAATGTTAATTTTCTGAAACTTCAAAAATTCATACCTCACAAACCGTACAATTAAAAAATATAAATAATATATGCACGAAAAACTTATGAAGTAAAGATTCCAAAAATATAAGATTTGTATAATAAACCATCATAACCAGAGAAAAATAGGTAATTTAAAAATTTACTCCAACAATCGATTTTATTTTTTAAAAATAAAATATTTGAGATATTTACAAGAAAATTTTCAGAATCATTCATTTACATATGGAGCCGAATATATAAAAAAATTTAGCCCCAACAGAGATCGATTTCATGAGATATCATACTTTGCGTCAAAGCATTTTTCATTCTTTTATAGACTCACCATTTTAAAAAATAATAAAAATGAATATTTTTTTTTTCAATAATTAAAATAAAAATGAATATTGGGTATCTATTGGAGCTAATTTTTTTTATATGTTATACTCCATATGAAAATGAATAATTTTAAAAAATTTCTTACAAATAACCCGAGTATTTTATAAAAAATAAAATAAAATTGTTGTAGTAGATTTTTAGATTGTCAATTTCTCTCTGGTTATAAAATTTTGTTAAACAAATATTATATTTCTGGAATATTTGTTTTATAAGCTTTCCGTTCATATATTATTTGCAATATTTGGATGTACAATTTATGAGATATTAATCTTTTAAATTCGGGAAAATTAAAATTTAAATAAAGGACATCTTGGTCTAAATATCAACTCTTTTACTCCCTTAGATAGTTGAGGAGGGTTCTTTGGTAAAAAAATTAAATAAGGGGGATTTATTGGAAAGAGTTATAAGTCGAGGGGGGTTCTTTGATAAAAAATTAGACGAGGGTTAAAACGCTACAAGACAAGTGGAGTTTCCTGTACTTTGCCATATATATATATATATATATATATATATCTCCTGAGCTGTCAATGGCTAAGCCAACTGGAGCTCATCTGACCACCTTTATTCAAATTCTAGTAATTGCAATTCTTTGTATTAACCCACCGATGGTGAGATTTTTGGTTGGATCCTTGTGCCATATATTACTTGTTTATGGTATGAAAAATTCATTCTTTGTTTTTATTCTTTCACCGTTGCTTCATTGGTATTTTCATGCTTTGACAGCAATGTCTTAGCATTACGACCAAGCCAAATCTCTTGTCTACACGCCCAAAATGGTCCCAAGGCCTTAATTTATCTTAATCGATATATAACCCACCTTTCTAATTTAATCATTTGACCTAATTAATTAACCTTAGAACATGTAAAGGTGCTTAATTTCTTTATATGCAAAACTAGCTATATAAATCTATCGATTGTGTACAAAAATGAATTGGCACATAAATTCAAATGCCTTATTATTATGTATGAATGAATACCCAAAAACAGACTCCTTGTTTGATGGCCCAACAAAGTGTGGAGACTCCATCTACTTGCATTATTTTGTAGATCATTGTATTAAATCCAAAAATACTCTAAAAATGACCTATTCTACTTTGTAATTTGTATATATATACAATATCTTTCCATTTTTCTGTTTTCAATTCCCATTAATTAAACCAAGAAAACCAAGAGATACGTATTTTTTTATTTTTTATTTTAACAATAATGGAAGAATATTTCCTCTTTCTTTTACTCTTCATCTAACTCTAGACCAACTTAGAATCTTTATATCATCCATACTTGGATTAACTTTTTTTTTTTTTTTTTTTTTTTTTTTTTTTTTACGAGGTAGGTTAAAATTAAGTTAGATTAATAGGTGCAAAAAGTCGAAATCTAGCACTCTCAAGATCCACCGAAGACATTAACCACTGAACGATCAAGTCATCTGCATACTTGGATTAACTTAATCCAACAAATAATATTAAAGCAAAATGACATGGTATGATCCTTAATAATTTTCTCCCTCAAAGAGTACATACACCAACACAATTAAGGAAGCTGATTCGTTACCTTATTCTTGTGCGTGTGACAGTGTGGATATATATATATTAATATCATATTAATATAGTCTTTATCGTCCATTCATTACCTAGGATAAAATTTACCCCTCATTTCACTTAACCTATCCTTTCTTTATATATATCGTCTCTCACACTTCAAGTCTGTCTCTCTCTCTTCACATTGCTGGCAAAATGAAGATCCGATCGTGGATATCCACCTGCTCCTCCGCCACCTCCATTGCCACCGCCACCGAAACAGCACCACCCAAACTTATCATCTCCGATTCAAGCATCTCCTCCTCATCAACCTCTCAAGACACCAGCTACAGCAGCCTCCAAAGCAACCTCTCCCTCCAAACCCTCCCATCCGTCCCCTCCCTCCAAAAACTCTCCCCCGAAACCCTAAACCTCTCCGTCACCCATCTCCGCCTCGCCTCCCTCAAACCCCGCCTCACCCCCATCACCTTCCTCGCCGTCCACCACCACCTCCTCTACTCCGCCTCCGGACACCAAATCAACGTCTTCGACATAGAAAACGGAAACCACACACTCATCGACACATTTAACACCAACAATTCTTCATCAGGCTCAATTAAGTCCATTTCTTTCTCTAAAGAAAAAGTGTTCACTTCACACCAAGACAGCAAAATCCGAGTCTGGCAATTTTTAACTGAAACAAAACTTCACAAACTCGTTGCCACTCTTCCCACCATTAATGATCAGTTAAGAAACTTCATTTTACCAAAGAATTATGTTAAAGTCCGTCGTCATAAAAAACGACTATGGATTCAACACAATGATGCTGTGTCCGGACTCGCTGTTAGCATTGACAGTTTAATGTTCTCAGTTTCGTGGGACAAGTACATGAAGATATGGCGGGTATCGGATTTTCGATGTGTTGAGTCTGTTAAAGCTCACGATGACGCCATTAATGCCGTTGTAGTGTCCGGTGATGGAACTGTGTACACGGGTTCTGCTGACCGGAGTATCAAGGTGTGGGCGAGGAGGTCGGGAGAGAGACGGTACGGGATGGTGGCGACGCTGGAGAAGCACAAGTCGGCTGTGAATGCGTTGGCGTTGAGCGCCAACGGATCAGTTTTGTTTTCGGGTGCTTGTGACCGTTCGATCTTGGTGTGGGAGAGGGAGGACAGTGCAAATCACATGGTGGTCACCGGAGCTTTGAGAGGGCATAGTAAGGCCATTCTGTGTTTGGTCAATGTGTGTGATTTGTTGTTGAGTGGGTCAGCGGATCGGACGGTCAGGATTTGGCAACGCGGACATGATGGACGGTTCTGTTGTTTGACCGTCTTGGAGGGACATGAAAAACCGGTACGGTCGTTGGTGGCGGTTCCGAGTGGTAATGAACCGGCCGGTTCGGTTAAGGTGTTTAGTGGAAGCTTCGACGGAGAGATCAAGGTGTGGCAGGTCGTAGTTTCGAATCTCAATAGTCCATTTTCCTCTGATATTTTGAGATAGAATTCATAAAAATAAATATTTATATTTATATTTCAAATCATCGGCTATTTTATTATTGGTCGGGCTTTGGATTTGTAATGACCTGTTTTCTATCTTTGTGTATAATTTGATTTGAGATGTTCCTATATGCACTTTTTGTCGACTTTATAATGTTAATTTAATTAATGTATTTATTCTTAATCAACATGTGACGTGATGTATTGATTCTTCTTAATCAACATGTCACATGCATCGATATGGCTTCATTCCAGGTATGGAAGTGAATGAAAAGGTAGAAATAATTTTTTTCCTGTTTTGAAATTGAGAGAGACTTGGACTAAGTGTAGAAAAATGATTCAAACATTGGATTAAAATGGCCATTTCTTAACTTGCGTGATTAGAATATTTCCCAATTTTATGCTGGCTTTTGAACTTTGATGAATAATTAGTGATTATAATCGAGAGCATTTAATAACCCAAAGAAAATAAAGACAAATAAAACCTTTTTAATATCGATCTTAGATTAGCTGGCTAATATTATTTTCAATTTTACATTGCTTAGCTTGACGAAGCTTAATATAAACCTAGAATGTTGAATCCACCACTATTCATATCTTACCTATATAAATTGAAACAGTATTAAAATAAAACGTAAGTTCTTCATCTAAGTTTGAATCACAAGTAAAATTCGATCCATTTAAGAATTATCTGAAAGCTAATTGGCCGTTCTCCACAAGTTTGCACAAACACGGTACCGGAAGTAAAGTAGTTGTGGCGAAACAGCCAAACGGCCCTTTTCTGTCCGCCATGGGTGGCTTATTCGCATTCCAAAATTGGAAGGTATTATTCACACATGACAAATACAAAATTCTTTTGGCTGTCCCAACAAGAAAACGCCAAATTATATATAATATATTGAACAACAAGTTGTTGTATGGACAGTATAAAAGTTTTGTCCAAATGAATGAATTGGTGGTCTAAGAATACACTGCAAAAAGGAGGAATATATATATATATATATATATTCAGATTTCATAAATGGATTACTTGTGGCTGTTTTGCTCCATTGCAAATATCTTACAAAAAGTAGTCTGCAGACAGATGATTCAATATATATATTAAAAATATATATGCCCATACCAATTCTAATGATAAGAGAGGCCACCACCTAGGTAACAATTTTAGGTGTCCAAGTTGGCCAACTTGAGTTTGCTGCTAAAGCAGAGTGGTCAACAACAACCAATTGAAGAAGAAGATGATGATATTGTTATTTAAGTAACTGGTGTCATTTGACAACGTCCATTTATGTGATCAATCAAGCTCATCTTTTCCATCACTATGACCTCATATACAAAATGAAGTTCTTTATTATGTAAATATTACAATAGATTCAGAGATAGTCCAAACTTTTACGCAGAGCATGTTATCGATACAAGATGACTTAGGAATAGTTCACAGTGTTAGTCCTAGAAGATGGCAGATTAGTAGTAATTAAGATTTGAGATCCTATAATAATATCTCCAAAGAACACATATGATTAAACTTTAAATCATAACTGTTACTCTTTTGAACTTGTGGCTAGTAAAAAGTTGCAAAATGAACACTACTATCACAATGCAGTAGCACATGTACAGACTGTGGTCCTTAGCAACTTCATACGGATCAGTTATGAAATAAGGGCAATGATTCATAAAGCTGTGGATAGAGCTCAAGTATATTCAATCCGGCATCCAATGGAATGATCGATACAATATATATATATATATATATATATATATTGAGATCATTATCATGGAAGTCTTTTACACACACACACAAACACCTTTTAAATGACAATAATAGCTAGGAGTACTAGTCATGTCACACAACCACTACAGATATTAACAACCCTTTTTAACTAATAGGAGTAGCTACTAAAACTGTTGGTTTAGGTTCAATTTTTCTTTATATTTGATATCTTAGTACTATATATATATATATTAAGATTAGCCAAATATTTTTAATTTGATTAATCAGGATGTATACCTCTCAGCTTGCTAATTAATGTGATTCACTGGATCTGTTTTGAATGTTAAGTCAACTTCTAACATAGATTTAGAATTGTAGATACATCAACAGCACAGACATGATTATAGATTTCGAAATAAAGAATTGTAGTTAAGTTAATATTTCATATGATTAATATGGTTTTTGTTATTTCTTGTCTTAATAGCTTAAGTCTATAGATAGAATCCATGTCTGGGAAATGATCGAATCAATATAAAATACTAGAGACAATTTATTAATACTTCGGTTTTTGCCTTTAACAAAGAATTAATGAATAGCATACAATGGAAATTAACTATTTTAATTTTAATTTAATAATAGATGGCACATGAAGCTGTCTCTTTTCTTTCTCTTTATTAAGGATATATGGGTAAAAAACTAGTTTGGATTAGTAGAAAAACACATAACATCGAACCAGAACATCAATCACCATATAGCATATAATACAAATAGCCTAAACAATGGATTAGGTTACATTCTGAAAAATAAATAATAAATTGCTCATGGGTTTGTTTGGATGTCGTTTGGATTTGAATAGTCACATTCACAAAGTTTAATTTAATGTATAAAGACCATCATCTTTAACGAATTAGAAAATTGGGGAAATTTTGTGATACTTATTTTCCTGCATTTCATCATTTTAAAGTTTACTTGAAATGACAAGACTCCGTTTAATATAGTAAATTTCTAAATTAACATATTGTGTAGATTATGAATGTATCATTGAATTCAGAGGTCCCAATGTTCTTATTACGTTCTGACTACGATCATATAGTAGTTTGTGTAACAAGAGAATAGAAACATAATTATTGGCCACGAAATTTCAATAAATTAACACAATTATATATAATCCAAGCTAAAATATAGAGTTTTGTATTTTCTATTGTGTATTTGTGTGTGCATCATCCAGAAGGATACCTAAGGGTGAAACTCTAGCTGTTTAATTATAATTTTAGATTGTTTAATTATAATTACTTGTGAATTGTGATAAATATGGGTACTCTAGCTCAACCAGAAGAGGCATGCATTCAAATGACCGTTTGATTAAGTTCGCAAACAAATTTGAAAATCATAAATGAGTTGCCATAAATTAAGTACTTTTGAATCCTTGGGAGATTTTATGAATAAAATAACACATCTCAATGTCTCACGTAATAGGATATACTAAAATATATATGTAGGTATATATTAACTTGTAGGACATTAATTATTGATGATTATTACTACTATTAGAACGTCACTATATGAGTCTCATTAACTTAATCAATTCAGTATACACTGGATCGAGATATAAGATATATAAACAAGAAGTCTGTTGGTTGTAAAAATGGGCATAATATATATATATATATATATATATATCATCTCAATGAGCATTGATCACACAGCAACCAAGTGCCAACCAATACTTGCACGTACTCCCTCAACTTGCCAACTTGTTCATGCACAGTGCACACACTTAGAAAAGCTGTTTGAATGAAAGAGCTAGAGAGGACTTTTTGTAGTCATTTTTCTTTAGTATATATTATGTAGTTATATATAGTTGTATATATAGCTAGTATTGTGTCGTGGGCTTGGGGACAATGTATAACAGCCAAAAATAATAAAGCTATCTAGTTTATTGATTCAAGCTGGGGTGCAAGTGTGTACTCTCAATGAAAGCTAGAAGTCCACATACGTTTGAGATTAGTCTTATGATCCTATCTATCTACCCATACCCAGCCTTATTCTTTTCCGACCTCAAAGGTTTCTGAACCCTGCAAACAATTAACAATGTGTACACAATTCTATATATATATATATAGACGTGTACATGTGCTGTCTTCAACAATTTGTCATCGAAAAACAAAATGGATAAAGAAATAAATAAATAAATAAATAAATAAATATATATATATATATATATATATATATATATATATATATATCTATCTTATACGCTGGAATTGACGTTGGATAGATTATCCATGGTTTTAGAAATTGACGTGGATAGATTATCCATGGTTTTAGAATTTAGGTTTAAGAGAGTAATATGTATATATTTATTTATTTATTGTACAGTCTATATTCTCTATGTTGTTTTTATAAGGTCAAAGTTCTTGAAGGGTCATTTTATCACCAAACATATATTATCAGGTCTGCATATTATTTCTTTAAGTATATGTTTGTACAGTCGTTATGTTAATTTATAAGATGTATATATATGTCTGGCTGTATCATAGAGGCCTGTAAACTTTTCTTAATTATAAGAACTATATATACTCTTAATCTAAGGCATAGACTTCTATGGAGGATAGTTTAAACCCACCCAGCACTTGGTAATCTTAAGATGTACCTGTATCTTAACTTACCTTACCTTACCCGGCCCTATTCTATCTTAGCCTTATCTAATTCAATTTATTCAACACTTACACGGTTATACCCATATATATATACAGAAATGTTGTCTTTGGGCCTACAGCATCTACTATGATATGCTTTGATGTGGTCCCAAACGCATTGGGCTCCTTCAAACAACTCAATGAAAAACTCCTAGCAGCAGCCAGTGCCATCCCCAAGTTTAATCTTAACTTGGGCTGGGCCATTCAGAAGTCTAAATTTTTAATAGGCTCCACTAAAAATTTCCCACGTTTAAGCCTAATTATTATTGTCCAAGAAGCACACCCCGAGTTGAGTTTGTTTCCCTTTCGGCCCATCTTCTGATTCTTGAAAATTTCTCTCTCCTTAATTCCTTCCCCATAAGCATTTCTACAACATTAATAATCTGAGATGGAGTAGGTTAATATAAGCAATGTTATCTCTATCTCCTTAGTCCCTTCCCCATATACTTTGCAATGGTATCTCTCCTCCTACACTACCACTCAAGGTGAGTAAAAAAAAATTTCATTCATAACTTATACACGATTGCACATCAAACAAGATATATGTCCACGTACCTTTAACATATACGTGTTGTAAGAGTTTTGGTCTTTGTA